TGGGCCACCAAGTCCTGCCTATTAACCAGCTCCTCTGGCCCGCAGAGTTTGGAAGTGTGCGCAGGCAGGCGAGAGCGACACAAAGACTGAGGCTCCTGGCAGGTGCAGGGCTGGGGTTCACCACGGCCTCAGAACAGGTGACGGTCAAGGGTGCAGAAAGTCCTTCGCAGGCAACGGAGAACAACGGTCTCACCCTAAGTGGCTCCTCTGAGAAACGTGGCAAACCAACGACCCTAACCTTTACAACTCTGCCCAATCCCTAAAATCCTGACGCTTCTGCACACAGGCACCTACTGCTCTACTCTCAGTAACACCACAATTTTCCTCTGGAAACCTAAACCTCTGGCGATCTCAACCTGTGACCTTCAAGAGGTTCACAAATGAACCCCCTCCCAAGCCCCACCTCGGCCCCAAGCTCGGACAGAAGCCACGTGACCCAGCCCCGGCCAATCCAAGCATCCCGCCTCCCCAGTCCTGGTGACCAGGTCAAGAATAAGCACGTGACCAACTGCAACCAATGAGACTCAACCGCACAGCTTGCAGGAACTACTGGGGACACGGGACTCTGCGCACAGGGGTTGCTGAGGGGACAGGATAATCTGGATATTTTGCCAAGTCCCCTACATTCTGGGGATACAAGTACAAAATGACAAGTCCGGTGTCTCCAGAGAACTGCAGAACAGATGAGTACCACAGGGGACGACAGTTATTCTAATGAAGGGCGATACAAGGTGAGTAGAAGGCAAGAAGCTGGCAAATCATCCAAGATGGAAAATGCTAATGATTACTCAGCTATTTTAGGAGAGTGCATTAAATGGACATGATAAATGCCAGGCTCTGTGTTCCAGAAAACCAGGGCCTGCACTGATGGCATCCGCAGTCCTGTCCGGCCTCCCCGGGCCTCTGTCTTCCATCACCCCTACCACTGGGTAAACACCTCACCCTCCCCGAAGCACAGGAATTCGCCAGTGGAAAGAACACGCAGACACCTTCCAGGGGAGCTGAAGGCTACATACTTTATCCTAATGTAGTCAGAGGCTTCGCTGTCTCGGCCAGGGCCAAGGGCTCCAAAGGACACCCAGCCTCATCTGTTTCTTGCCAAACGGCTCAACAAACTGCCTCTGGAAGCCTGTCACCCCCGCCCTTCCCCAGCCACCCGGAAACCAAGCGGCAGACTCAGAGGTCAAGAAAGGCCGGCCCTGCTCTCAGACACCGCCTGCTGCGGCTTCCTAAAGGAGACACGAAGCGACCAGCGAGGGGCCAACACGTCCGGGTGACGACCTGGAAATTGCAGGTTTTGTCAAGGGATCCAACGTCTGGAGCAAAAGGTTACAAGGAAACTACCACCCCCCTCCTAAGCGGGACATGACTCAGAGACTAAACCTCGTCGCCTGCCCTGGCCGAGGGCAGATCTTTCCCTATGAGAGGAGACTTCACAAAATGCCATGGGTTTCTATAGGATTTGCTATTCCTTGTGTAAAAGCAAAGAAAATGAGAACATGTGAGTACAGTCATCGCATCTATGACATCTATCCACGTCGTGCGGATGTAGACACAGACTCTCTGCAAACACACAGAAGAAACCGGTGGACGCCGGGGAGAAAGGTGACCGTGGCGTGAGGAGGCAGGCCTGGGCCTGTGGTTCTCCACCGGGGGGATTTTGCCCCCAAGGGAACGCTTGGCAATGTCTGGAGCCACCTTCAACTGTCACAACTGGGCACGAAGGGAGAGGCACCACTTGGCGCCGAGTGGGTAGAGGCCAGGGATGCTGCCCAACACCCTGCGATGCACACGACGGCCCCTCCACACTGAAACAAAGGATCATCTGTCCCCAAACGTCGCCAGTGCTGAGGCTGAGACTCCTTGCTGTGTGTAGACCGTCTGATACAAATTTTTACCATCACCTTCTGTTTTTAAAATAAAATGTACCATATATACAGAAGCAAATAGTCCAGTTATATTTAACAGAGACTATTAAACAATTTAAAGAAAGATAATAAAATGAACACCCTACGTAACTCTCATCCACTCTGATATTACTTTCACTTCTACAAAAACAAAGAGAGTCCGTCGACGCCCTGGAGAAAGTCCGGGGCACCAGACTGTGATGAGAGTGCAACGTGCAACACGGAGTGCCGGGGCGCTGGGGCAGAAGGCATCTTAGGGAACACAGAGTCCCGGAACAGTATAGAGATGCCATTTCCTCTCAACTCCCGTGCGCTGACGGTGGTCACTGGGACCAGGAAGGCACACCACAAATGACCGTGGACGTCTGCCGTGGGAGGCGAAGGGGAAGAGAAGCCGGAGTCCGGCATTGGACATCCTGTGATCTGACCCCTTCATTTTTCATATGAGAAAACCCAGAGCTGGGAAGGTGAAATGACCAGCAGCAGGTCACGCTATGAGCTGGCCGCAGAATGCAGCTGTCCTGACTCTCAGAAAAACACTCTAGTCCTCTAAGCCGGAGATTGACCCATGGTCCACATCTGGCTCATACCTGTTTACACAGGGCCTATAAGTTCAGAAGGAATTTTACTTGTTTGTTTGTTTCAAGACAGGGTCTTGCTCTATTGCCCAGGCTGGACTGCGGTGGTGGGATCACAGCTCACTGCAGCCTCAATCTCCTGGGCTCAAGTGATCCTCCCACCTCAGCCTCCTGAGTAGCTGGGACTACAGGTGTGTACCAACACGAATGGCTGGATTTTACATTTTTAAATAGTTGAAAAAAAAATCAAAAGAATATTATAAGACACATGCAAATTATAAAAAGTTCAAATTTCAGTGTCTATAAATACATTTTTACGGGAACACAGACATACCCATCCATTTACGCATTATCTGCAGCTGCAATTGCACTCCCCTAGCAGAGACAAGTATTTGCGACAGAGACCCATATGGCCTAGATTCCCTGAGATATTTACTAGCTGACTCATTACAGAAAAAATCTGCTCACTCCTACTTCTTGCCAGTGTCTTTCAAACTTGAATGTGCGCACGAACCACCTGGAGAGAACTTGCTAAAGTTCAGATTCTGATCTGGGGTGAGGCCTGAGGGTATTTCTAACCACACCAGGTGTTGCCAATGCTGCTGGTCCACGGATCACACCCAGAGGCGTGAGGATCGACTCCAGTGGGTCTCAAGGTGTGGGACCCAAACCAACAGCCCCTGGGAACACGTCAGAAATGCAGATGCTCCAGCCCCAGCCAGACCTACTAAATCTGAAACGCTGGGTGGGGCCCAGCAAGATGTGTTTTGACAAGCCCTCCTGGTGATGGTGATGCCAGCTCAAATTTGAGCACCATCTGTCTTGCAACTCCAGACTCAGACATTTAAGGTGGACCTAAACAAAA